GATGAGCATCGCCCCCTAGAGTCAAACACGACTGGACAAAAATTGTCAAAGGGAACCTTTACCTTATATGGGGATTGTGTACCTCATTGCCTTGATGCTGAAGTTTATATTTAGCAATCTGTGCAATATCCTGGTCACATATCCCGGAACATGCAGTTGTCAGACTTCCACTCCAATCAGGTCTAACCAACAGAAAGGAATTGTGGGAGTTGAAGCACAACATCATCATCTGAAAGATCAGGATTTTTTTTCCCCTCAAACACCTGCTCCATAAACTTATTTTGAGACTGAGAACAGCAAATGCTGTTGTAATATGAATTTGGGCATGAGAGTAGTTCAAAGACATAGATTCCACTGGGTTATTTCTAAATTCTTGCTGAAATGTAAGCCAGTGTTCAGATACCCTTCTTTGCACACACATGAATGGAATGTATTTAGCTGCAAATTCTAAAACATAAAACAACTTTCAAGTTGGGGGAAAGCTTAGTATTTCCCAGAAAGACTTCACCAAGAGAATAAAAGTTTATTTGCACAAAGAATACAGATTGCGTCTGACCTAGCAAGAGATCTGTGCATTTTGGATAAGAATTAGATGAATGTGCCCATTCAAGCCCAATTTAAGTTTAGTTAATTTTCTAAATGAGAAGGCAGATGCACAGGGCTGCTCAGTGATGTACGACTGGTTGCCTGTAATGGATGAGAACTTATCTTTTCTTCCTTCCTACAAGCTTGCACCTACATGTAAGGTTAAAAGAAGTTCAAACAGCCATCATCAATCTGCTGCTGCAACATTTACTTTACTGCTATAGCAAATGCAACATTTACTTTACTGCTATAGCAAATTAATTTTTTTCTAAGAAACCTCAAAACAGTAGAGAACCTAGATATAAATCTCATTAAACCTTCCTATCAGAGTAACTTATAGACCAAGCCACCTATGCTTCCTCTATGTTCTCTAAAAATATTTAAGCCAAAAACTAAAAGGAACATCAGCAAACAGTATTATTTCAGCCTAATTTAAAGATCACTGCAAATATCCAGAAAATGGAGGTTTTGAAAGCAATGTAGTCTATTAGCAAGTTAATGAAGATGTTCAATCAAAATGGCGTTCACATTGTATTAAAAAAAATCATATTTAGAAATGCTGTTTGCAAACAGTGGCATCATTTCAAAATATTTTATGGATTCATGTACAGTTGGAAGATACTGAATTATGAAGTGGCTTAGAGAGAACAGTGAATCAGAACAATACCAAGACAAATAATTTCTTAATTGTAAAATGCAGATGCTTGAAAAAAGGAAAGACATTTCTTCTTCAGAAACCACAACAAGCAGAATTCCATCTTCTTCCACTGAATGAAAAACAAAACACACAAACAAGGAAGCGTACATATTCACATGCCTAGCTAGACATGAGAAACATTTGTGTTTTGGTCTACAACTCCCAGAATTTCACAACCACTACCCATGATGGCTGGAATATCTGTAGATCTGTTTAAAAGAAATTAAATACTGTACTTCCTAACTCTATGCATACTTGCCTAGCACATGTTCTCATCATACATTACAGTGAAAGGAAAAGAAGAATATGTGCTTGTTTGATATTCTTATAATGGTCTGGCTCCTGTTACAGTGGTGCCCCATTTGACAATTACTCCGGTAGATGACGAAATCGCTTAACGATGAGGTTTTTGCAATCGCTATTGCGATTGCAAAACGATGTTTCAATGGGGAAAATCCACTTCACGACGACCGGTTCCCTGCTTCGGAAACTGATTTTTCACTTCACGACGATCTTTACAGCTGATCATCGGGTTTTCAAAATGGCCGCCCACTGTTTTCCGGACCTATTTCCAGAAGATAGCGATTGAAAATGGCTTCCCCTATGGAGGATCTTCGCTGATGATGATTTCGCCCATTGGAACGCATTGAACCTGTTTTCAATGCATTTAAATGGGTTTTTTCTTTCACTTGACGACGATATCGCTTAACAGTGATTTTAACAGAATGGATTAACGTCATCAAGCGGGGCACCACTGTACCTCTTTTTCAAATTGGAATAAAAAACAAAGCAGAACATACAATCACTTAAGAATATGTACCATAAACGTAGTGGGACTTGCACCTAAGAAAACACATATTACTGGTTACAAGTGTGCTGAAGATCACCCAGCTAAAAATCGTCTCTCCAAATAATTCACAGGAACAGGTTACATTTCTGACAAGTACCAATATTTCTTCTATCATTCAGGCTAACATATCCAAATTCTTCAGCCTTAAATAAAACTGTTCCTAAATCATACTATTTCAAACTGGTAGAGTTGTCTGCCAGTTGAATGTTCTGAATTACAGTGGTGCCTCACACAACGGTGTTAATTGGTTCCAAAAAAATCAACGTTGTGTGAAACATCGTTCTGTGAAACACCATTTCTCATAGGAATGCATTGAAAACCGGAAGAACTTTAAAAGGCAAACGGAGATCAAAGAGCCCTTTCCCGATCTCCCTTTTCGCTCCTGTAAAAGTGTCTTACAATGTTTGGAAGCTGTTTTAAATGATTGCAATGGTTAGCCCACCTCCTGAAACCTATGCAAACTGATTTTGGTGTTGTTCTGACACTTCGTTAATTTATGATGATTTTTTGTTTTTTCCATTGGAAACCATTAGGCAGACCATCCAATGGTTTCCAATGGAGAAAATTCAAAAAATCAGCTTCCAAACATTGTAAGACACTTTTACAGGAGCGAAAAGGGAGATCGTTGTGTGAAAATCCCCCATAGGAAACATCGCTGTGTGAGGCAGCAAATTTGACAGAAAAAGGCATCGTTGTGTGAATTCATCGTTGTGTGAGGCACTCGTTGTGCGAGGCACCACTGTATTTATTTTAAAATGCTCAATATGAAGAAAAAGAAAAGTACTGGGTCAAATGGGAGGGTGGTGGACTTCAATTCCCACTGATAATGCTGGCTGGGGGATTCTGAGAGTTATAGACCAAAGGTGTGATTTTTCCAAGTCTAATCTAGACTTTTGCCAGATGTGCCAGTTTTCTATCTATGACAGGAGAAAGAAGATTTAAAACTACAACCTTCTCGGACCCATCACTTGCAGTCTAAAGTTCAAGAAGAGTTTTACCAAGTGATGAACAGCTTGTCCAGAATGGATCTTTTTCAAAAATGCAAGCAAGCTAGGCATCAACTCTGTTTTAGATGATTCTCAGTATTGAGGACATTAATTACAATAGAAATCAAACCGTTTAGTCTGTTCTGATTAATATGTCAAGAGAAACAAATCACAGTTTTAATTTTATGATATTCTGAAACAAGCAAATAGGACTTTGGTAGTGACTACTTAACCTAATACAACAGCCACTTCTTCAGTAGCTGCAGCCTTTCTTCAGTAACAGACCACCTACTCTATGTAATAATTATCACCAGTGGTTCCCAACCTTCAGTTCCCAGATATTCTAGGGACTACAACTCCCAGAAATCCTTTCCACCACATCTAGTTTTGTCCAAGAACATTTGGGGATCCAAAGTTGGTAACTACTGTTTTACACAATAGCCTCTGTGGGCAGGATGCTTCCCTTTGCAAGCACAGATCCTGGAAAAGAAGGAAACCGATGGGCCTCAGGAAAGCTCTATTCACCTGAACAAATCTCCTTATTTCTCTCATCAAGGAGAGGGAGAATAAGACAGAATGTACCTACCCATTCTCTCTCATGAGACAGCACAGAGTCTGCATATATAATGGAGGTGAAGACAGATATCTTATGGAGACCTCCATCAATACTAGGGGGCTGCCCCTGCACATGAAAGGCTCATTCTGATCATACAGAATCCAGCCCAATTAATTTCATTGTGTAATTTACATACAAAGACAGATATACTATTGTGGAAGAAGTTATGTCAGGTGGTGTGAGGAGCTGAACTGAAATAGCTCAGCTGAATCAAGTTTTTAATTATCTTGCTAGGTAAATTAATGAAACAGCCATCTTTATTATTCAGGGTTTTCAAAAACTAGCATTTAAAGGAATCTGCTTTTGGAAATCAGCAATAAAATAGCACTGTGTAAGACGATCTAGAAATACTTACAAAGAGATACATGTTTAAGGAGCTTCTATTTCAAAAAATGTTCCATAAATCAGAATTGTAACATTTAGACATAGAGTCCTACTGTTCACATCTGAAGCAGCTGCCAATTGATTCATACAGACTACAGTGATTTACTCACTGAGTTAACTTCTTTCGCTTATTGAATGGAAGGAATACTGACTCAAATGTACCGCATATGTAGACAGTCCAGCACTACTCCTAAGAGGCTACCAATTATGCTACAGCAACATCTGAAAGCTTGTTAGACACAATCCAGCTAGTATTGCCTAGTATTTTTAATTTTCATTCAGTATTTGTGAGAACATACATGGCAGCACACAAGCTGTATTATACAACGCAAGTTATTATTGTTTTGTTTTGAAAAGTATTTCATCTAAGATGGCAGGCATTCATCTTCCACAAAGCACAGAAACATCATCTTGGAAAAGCAAGACTTAAAAAAAAAAAGACACGCATGAGATACAATTCACAGAATGGACTCCTGGAAGGAAAAACATTTTTCATACAACCTTGACTGAGATCCTGAATGTATAAATCACCAGCAGAAATACCAGCTGCTCAGAATGTTCATTAGAAACACAGATCAATGTCTCCCCCTGCTAGTTATGCCACTGTTGGTGCCAGTCTGCTTATAAAAGAAATGCTGCTGACACAGAGTCTTCGTATAAATACAGGGCATGAAGGTTTCATTATGATATGCTCGACAACAATCCGCAGTTCTGTGAAGAGAGTCCTGATAACAACAAAAGAAACTATGTTTAGTTTCCAACTTTTTGAAAAAACAGAACACTCTGATTTTTATGTAATGGTGGCTGCAATCCTACACATTCTTTGGCAGGAGAAAGCTCCACGAAATTAAATGGGATGTCATATGAATACGGATAGGACTGTGCAACAACGCTGAGAAGTGTCTTTTGTGGCACCCATTCATCCCTTCCTGTGGTTATGGACAGGGCTGGGCTAAAAAAAGCCCTGAGAAATCAGAATAAGGTATGACCAAGCCCAAGGGACTCTGAAGTCTATCAAAAAGAAGTACCTTGAATTTTAACTAAAAGGAAAAATAACCACTGAACATGCTTAGCAGCCCATGGACTACTGTATTTCAGTTAGGAAAAAAATGTAGGGAGACCACAGCAATGAAGTATCATGGAGGCTAAAATGGCTGCTTAGTCAGTCCTTGTTCAGAGGAAATAATTTGTTGCACATCGCACTCATCCTCTGAGACATCTATGTCTGATATTATCTTAAGATGCAGGAGCACAAACATCCTTAAATAACCACCTATCCAGAGACCTGAGAGTGGGCTTTCTTGGCTAAAGTGCCCTGGCTGTGAAATAGCATGAATAAAGGTAGCCTTAACTGGGTTCTTACCGGCAATAAGGATTTCTGCGGGAGGAATAACGAAGTGTAAGAAATCTGTAATAAATGAATGGTTGCAACAAGCTTCCTTGCCCACTGAAAGAGAACCAAAAGGATGATGTTGTGAGTGGAAAGGGTGGATTTTTCCCCTTTAAGGAGGACACGAATCAGAGATTAGAATGAGATTATAATCTTATGCTTTTCATCATGCACACTAGCTACTTAGAACTGAAAAAGACCTTATGTGAAAATAAATCTTTACCACTGTATTCAATACACAGAGAAATTAAATTAGCTTCTATGAATCTAATTAAATATAGAACTGCTGCTGAATAGCAAAGCATTAAAAACTCTGCAAGGAAACAACAAATTATTGTCCTCATCTGAAATAAAACAGCATGTATCTAGTGCAGGGGTGGATAACCTGAGGTCCTCTACATGCTGCTGGACTGAAAATACCAGAAGCATTAACCAGCATAGCCACTGCTGCACCATCCTAGTAAATGCAGTCTGACAACAACCAAAGGACCACTAGTTGCCAATTCCACATTTACTGCTCTATGAAATCTCCGGCTGAAGTCCCCCTGTATTCAGTGCAACTTATCACAAGGAAAGTACTGGAAGAAACACATGATTCTTTGCCATGTGTACTTATAAATAAAGCCACTAAGATCATGTTCACTGTTCTACCCAGTACTGTCCAGAAGAGCAATATATTTTCTCAACAGTGCTAAGACACCTAACATTATAAATATAGAAGCCATAATCACTACAAGTTACAATAAATATCATATGCGAAAATCAATGAACATTTTCTAAAGGCATTTTGTTAATACCTAATTGTTATGAGAAATAGGTCTATTATTCTTGATCCCATGATCTGTTGTTGCCGTGATCACAGAATAAAACAAATGGCCTTCTTTGCGTTAATGAAGTCTAAACTGATTTGTTCAGTCTTGCCAAAACAATACAGTGCATGCAGGGTGCCCTCTGCCAAAAAGCCCTTGGGTTGAGCTCTCACCTTTCAGACTTAGAAAAATTTCACTTTCCTGTCTTTATATCATTCATCCATGGCACAGCTTTTTTGGCTGGATCTTGCATCCAGAGTCTAAGGCCCTGTATCAATATCTGAGCCAGCATAGCCACAGCCTAGGTCCACTCCAACTTGTGCTAATTGCCACCCCATTTGTTCTTTCTCATAATTTTGTGAACATTTTATAGCCAGGGCAATCAACTGGGCACATACACACTCAGAGTTGCTCATTTCACTATCTGTATTTTTAAAATAGCTTAGGCTTTTAAATAATGTCAAAACTGCAGTTATAAAATCTGATCTGCAGATCTGATGCTAAGCACCAGATAAACAAAGTGATTTCTGTACCTACAGTTCTGATGTGCTACCATTTAAGTGAGCTTAAAGAGCAAGTTGTATGTGCTCAGAGGGGAAGGATGTTCTAATACAGGGATTGGAATCATGTCAGCGTTACATGTTTTTCCCTAGGTAAAGGTAAAGGTTCCCCTTGACATTTAGTCCAATCGTGTCCGACTCTAGGGCACGGTGCTTATCCCCGTTTCCAAGCCGTAAAGCCAGTGTTTGTCTGTAGACAGTTTCCGTGGTCATGTGGCCAGCGCGACTAGACATGGAATGCCCTTACCTTCCCACCATGGTGGTACCTATTTATCTACTTGCATTTACATGCTTTCAAACTGCTAGGCTGGCAGGAGCTGGGACAAGCGACAGGAGGTCACTCCATCACGTGGATTCGATCTGACGACTTCTGGTCTTCTGATCTTGCAGCACAGAGGCTTCTGTGGGTTAACCCACAACGCCACCACATCCCTTAATGTTTTTTCCCTAGTGCCACCAAATTCCCAGTTTGTTCAAAATTATTGGCAGCAAATTTTGGGCCTTATGTCACAGGCTGAAGGCACTAATGTGGTTCCCCTCCCCCATTGTTAATTCTGCTTTAATGTCATATATGTTAGTATTTAATATCAAATGTTGACATATTAATTGTGGCCAATCACTTAGAGGCAAGGTGCTGGAAAAAAACATGAAAATGCACAGTTACCTTCCAGTCATGAATAATTATTTAAATGCCTAGCTATTGCAAAAATAAATACTGACATAAACAATACAGTGAAATGCTTGAAATCCACACAAAATTTTACACTGCTGAGAAATGAAACTACAGTAGTTCATTTACAAAGTAAAGAAACAATCCTTACCTAGATCCTCTGAACCCTTCAGGCCAAGTAACACAGCTGTCATGGCCCTGACAGATCAAATCCTGTTGCTTAGCATACTAAATCGCACTAGGATAGGCCCACTGAATCAATGTGGATTTGCTGAGTCAACTTCTCCCTAAACTCCATTGATTCAAATGGACCTACTCTAAGACTTTCTTTAATATACTAAGTTACAATTAAAGTAAGCTCATTTGAACAAATGGAACTTAGGGAGGAGCTGACTCAGCAAATCCCCATTGATTTAATGGGCCTACTCTAGTGCAACTTATTATGCTAAGCAACAGAGTTTTGGCAAATACCTCATTCTATCAGAGTGAAATTATGTCTGCCAACTTCACTAGACGCTCCCACTACCATTCCTTACCACTACAATCCTGTGAGGAAAAGTCTGTCTTTCCAACTCGATGTGGAACAGTCCAGGCTACATTTATATCCCGCAGATCAGTGGTTCCCAACCTTGGTTAACTTGGGTGCTCTCAGACTGCAACTCTGAGAAACCCCAGCCAGCACAACTAGTAAGGAAAGCTTCTGGGAGTTGCAGTCCAGTAACTCCTGGGTTACCCAAGGTTGGGAAACATTGCTCCAGACTATTCCTCCCCCCCCCCCACTTCATACTGTATCAACCAAAAACCTATGCAGTGGTTAGAAAAGATAGTAGTCGCAAGTACAAGCTAACATGCTGTTTGCAGACCACATATGGCCCCCAAACCCTCAGTCCACAGCATGCCCACGATCCTTCCCCCAGTTAAAAAAATGGGGTTTGGCCAATGTATCGATCTACTAGGGTGGATTTATGGCACTGACTTTATTCTCCCTTATTAATCTTATTTCAATTTCATAAATGTTGACAAATGGAATAAGTCATAGGGAGGGTGGAATTGCTTAAAGTTCCAATGCCGTCCAGGGCATAAGGGCAATTTTGCTATACCACAAAAAACACTTCCTTTAAAAAAGTGACCCACTAGAGGGCTCAAGAGAGCTTTTCAGTAAAAACCCATTTTCAGAGGAAAACATTTCTGGGGGATAGGTCAGGGAACAGCCAGTCCAGGAGTATATGTGTGCAGTTCTTGAACCACTGGGAATTGTCAACCCCTAATCTACAGTTAACAACCTTAGTTTGTTATATGTCTGCAACCTTAGTTTTCAATATGAAAATATCTACCTTGACATTACAAGGGTAAAAAAGTAATACTCTAGACCTGTTCTAGAGCAGGTTGAAGGCAAAAATAAATAAAAGATTTATCTCATACCTGAAAAGCATAAACACAGTAGCTGGCATCAAGAAGATTTCATTGCAGGCTATAAATTTTAGGATGTTTTGCTGATTAGCATTTAATTTGTCCAAGAGATTTCTTAGAAAAGGAAAACTATTTGAACCTCGTGCCTTAAAAGAAGAAGCAAAAAAGCAATGTCAGGAACAACAGCAGCTCCAGGTTTTCTGGTATTTTATATGAAGTCAAACCATAAAGTAGCTTTCAGCCACATTACATTAATTTATTACCTGGCACTAATAAATATCTAAAATCTAAAGCCCAGGTGGAGAACCTGTGATCCTTTAAATGCCATTGTGCTCCAATGCCCAGCTTTTCCTGCTAGCATGGCCAACAGCTAAGCAAAATGATGTAAGATGTAGTCCAGCAGCATCTGGAAGGCTACAGATTCCCCACCTATGGTCTCAAGAGTAACTTTAAAGAATGCTAAAGAATTCTGCAAGCACAGTACTAAAAGCATATTTAATACACTAGTGAAAGAAAAAATAAAGTTGGGGTGTACAGTATATTACTTACAGAAATACTAAATGTCTTCTGACAGATTCACACATTACATTTTCCTGTCTTCAATCAAAATGTTTCATATGAGAACAAATAAATGCCTGCTTATATGACACTGGTGCCTCCTTATATGCAGGCACAGCACACTTCCATTTGCCACCATGCTAACTGGCAAACAAACCTTAAGGAACATGAATACGGAGCTTTGATCTAAAGGCAGTTCTGTGTTTTTTAAAAATTGTATAATGCAATGAACAACTGTATGCAGATGATGGTGCAGGCTAGCAGATTATTATTCTCATGCTGGTTGCAAATGAAGGGGCTCCAGCACTGAAAGACAGCAAATTTGTGGGGGAAGGAGGCAGGGATCACCTCCTGTGCTGCCAGCCTCCTTCACTTCAGGAAAAAGAAAAGAACAGAAAGAACACTTTCCTCTGTAATCACAGGAAACCAAGTGGAGGGCGACTGAATAGTTCACACCTTCCTGTACAAGTCTACTTAACAGAATGCAGTTTTTAACTAGCCTGCTGAGCAGCCCAAATAGGCAACATTTCTATGATGATTGGCAAGGATGTTATTTCTCAACTCTGCAGATAGTATAGAAGAACCAGCCTGCTGCTATACTTGTCAAAATCTCTGTGGGAAATTTTAGCCAAGTGGTAGGCTGACTCTTTTAACACCTTTCTATTACAGTGGATCTGAAATCTCCATCTTTCTTCGTCATCTGTTTTCAAGAACAACAGGGAAAGATCTGAAAGGCTCCTTGGTCAGTCCCTCAATTTTTAAAATATCTATGTTTGAAGATGAGTCTGTAGGACTTGAAAACCCAATTTCTTTGTAACACTTTAGTAATCCAAGATCAGAATTGCCCAATCTTTTATTTTTACATAAAAACTGAACCTGAATCACATCATTACTTTTACTTGTTTTTGCATTTTAGTAACACTGGTGGAAGAAATTTAAATTTGAGGTATCTTATCCTGTTCATTCCAGGAACCACTGGCTGGCCAACAAAAGGAAATATTGTGCAGTGCCATCCACAAAGACAACAAATAGTAAAATATTTGAAAATTTAAAATCTAAAAATATATTTTACCAAGGCCCCACAGAAATATTGGCAGAGTTTGCAAAAGGAGTAATGCCCTCTTAACTACTTCTGTTTGCTCCATTGCAGCTTATGCAGGAAATGTCTCCAGATCCAAAGGCAGCTCCCACTTCTTTCTGCTATTTAATCCAAACTAGAGATGGGCACTTCATACAAAGCACTGCTGCCCAGGTATTTCTCATTCCTATCCTCCCTCTCCCCCGCCCCCCAGCCACATGGTCCACTTGCCAGGCTTCTTCATCAATGGCACACTAATCAATGCTGGAGCCTGACTGGCCCAGTCCTGCCTCCCCAGGCAGCCAACCACTCCAATGGGGAGGTGAGATGGAGAGTCTCCCTGTGCAGCCAAGGAGTGGTCGACCGCCTGGGGAGGCAAGGATGGGGCAGTCGGGCTCCAGCGTTGATTGGTGCACCACTGATGCAGAAGGGCCCTAGCTGCCTGTGCAGCCTGGCAAGTGAACCAGGTGGCTATGGGGAAAGAGGAGAGCAATTACAAACACCTGGACAACAATGCTTCATGAGAAGCATGAAGCCCCATCTCTAGTCCTAACATTTCTGGTAGGCAGATTACACTACATTATGGTGACTGGCACATGGTCACCCAGTGAACCCATATCTCTACAGCTCTGGGGCAGTAATCTGCATACCATATTATATGGCTCTCATTGTTTCTCCTTGTCCTCCCTTCTTATCACTCCATGACACAACAAGCAGCATGTGATAAACCTTCAAAACAAAAGATGTAAAGCCACCTAGCACTTGTTATATAGCATTAACATACTTACATCAAGGACCTTCTTTGTGTAGGTGGCAGCGTGAAGCAAAGAAAACAATAAAACTGGAAAAATACTCACTGAAGTAAAAGTTAAAGAAAACACACATCTCAAACCCATTAATGAACACATACTTTATAAACTAGCAATTTGCTGTGAAGAGTTACACAATTTAACTTACACACTCGTATTTCTTTATTTATTTGATTTTTATACTGCCCATCCGGAGAAATCCACTCTGGGCAATTTAGAATCAAACACAGATAGGGTTAAAATAAATGATAAAAATAAAACAAAAAAAGAACATATGAAAATCCAAGATGGTAAAGATGAGAGTATTGTTGGTATATCATTTTATGGTATATTATTTTATAAACTTAGGACCAGTAATACAGTATGCAGTTGCGCCAAATACATTAATTCATTCCCAAAAATAAATAAAGGATGTATTTAAGAGAATCTTTCCCTCTAACAAGAAGAGACAGGTCTTAGAGCTAAAGCAGATGAGATGAGACCATCATTTATGCATCTGTACCTTTTCACATATAAAGGAAAGGCAGAATGTTGCTCTTATATGTAAAAGGAAAAAGAGCACATGGAGAATTTAATCACATCATAGGCTTCTGTGTTTCATGACCTTGCAACTGATGGCTCCAGCTCATGTCTCCTTGTCTGGCTCCAACATTAGGAACAAGCTGGAAATGGAGCAGGAACCCTTCCTGGCTCTTGCATGTGAATATGAACAGGGCAGATACATAAAAAGAAATACATATGATAGGGCCATGACTAATTTGGCCCCAAGCTGAATGCTTTAGAACAGTGGTTCTTAACCTTTGTTACTCAGGTGTTTTTGAACTGCAACTCCCAGAAATCCCAGCCAGCACAGCTGGTGGTGAAGGCTTCTGGGAGTTGCAGTCCAAAAATACCTGACTAACCCAAGGTTAAGAACCAGTGCTTTAGAACAGTGGTTACCAACCTTGGGTAACCCAGGTGTTCCAGGACTGGAACTTCCAGAAACCTCAGCCATCACAGCTACTGGTGAAAGTTTCAGAGAGCTGCAGTCCAAGAACACCTGGATTACCCACTGCTTTAGAATTGCCCTATTAGTCATATTTTTATGTTCACTTTTCTCTAAACAGCAGAAGGGCAGCATTTGATCATTTTCCTGCAGAAGCTCTGTGAGGATAAGCAATGGCAACTGATCCAACATCACAGACACAGCTTTGCAGTTCAATGAGGATTTGAAATGGCTGTCTTTGACCTACATCCAGCACTTGAACTACTACATCAACCATGCAATCATACAATTGTGGAAGCATTATCATTACACAGAAAATGCTTGTAAAAGGATACTTGTAACAGGGTAGGAATTAACAAAGATGAGAGAATACAAAAGATAGTGGCAGCTGTCTTCCAATAATGCCTGAGCCAGGAATGCCCTGCTTAGCTGAAAATGTGGTAGCCTTTGGTGAAGCCGAAGAGTACTCGTAAGAGCATTTGCCAGCAAGGCACGCTGATAAAAGCTGGCTGCTTCATGCAACCTAGAAATTATCAAAGGAGAGGTTACCATAAACACCAAGCCACAGCTTTAAGTCTTCCTCCCATGAGCATTGCATCAGAACTGTATTGTTTCTGAAGCCCTGCTAATATATAACTATTACTCGTTTTGAGGAAAAACTCCTTCTGTTTGACACAAAAAAACTGCAAATATATCCTCTCACAATAAAATAGTTTTATAAAAGTATTTTTAATGTACAGTAATCTATTTGCTATACTTGGGGGGGGGGGAGTAGCAAACATAAACACTGCAATCTAATCTCTCAAAGAACCATAAATGAAAGTAAGCATCAAAAACTGAATGGCCTACATTCACTTGAAATTGATGTCTCCACCAAGCACTGATTATTAGACACAATATACAAAGTAAGTTACAATGCAGTATAAAATATTAAACTGAAAGATTTGCATAATAATGACTATGTCCAATAGTGATATTTCTACATGCCACTGGGTTCAGTGATGGAGTTAAGCGCATGCTTTGATATCTCCTACTAAAATTAATGGAATGTACAAGTACTTAATGCTGGCTGGAACATGTCCATGGAATATCTGTATGTCTGCTGCCTTTTGTTCCTAAAAAAAACACAATGGGACTTAGGTACTATGTTTAAGACCATGATAATACATACCCTAGAAGAGGCAGGACAAACAAAGCTGAACAGTAAACTGTGAATATACGAGAAAGCCACATTGCTGTGTCCAACTTATTAGTCAGCAGAAATTGCTAGAGTGAAAGAAAAAGAAGTTAGTACAGACAATATTTGATACTACTTGTCAGGTAAAATATGACACAAAATGAAGAACTAATATGCCTATAAAAACTTAGCTTATTTAAATGTGGACAACATGACATATTAAAAGGCAAAATTTATACTGTTACCATTACATTTTAAATAATTACATGATTCCTAGGGGAACCTTTACTTTGATCAGTGTTTTCTGATGTATCTAGCTTGACTTTCATCAGAATTCATGACAGATAACATCTACAAGTTAGCCCAGCTCACTGTACCTTGTACAGAAATGGGTCAAGAAACCTAAAAACCAGTCACCGCTGCCTGTCCAGACTGCAAAAATGCCAAATATATCCCACTACTACTACTTTTGAATTGTGGTGCTGGAGGAGACTCTTGAGAGTCCCCTGGACTGCAAAGAGAACAAACCTATCCATTTTGAAGGAAATCAACCCTGAGTGCTCACTGGAAGGACAGATCCTGAAGCTGAGCCTCTAATACTTTGGCCATCTCATGAGAAAAGAAGACTCCCTGGAAAACACCCTGATGTTGGGAAAGTGTGAAGGCAAGAGGAGACGGGGACGACAGAGGACGAGATGGTTGGACAGTGTCTCAAAGTGACCAACATGAATTTGACTAAACTCCAGGAGGCAGTGGAAGAGAGGAGGGCCTGGCGTGCTCTGGTCCATCGGGTCACAAAGAGGCGGACATGACTTAACGACTGAACAACAACTACTACTTGAGTTTGAGGTATCTGCTTTGCTTCATGATGACCATGTGATGCAATTACTGTACCACTTTTTTCTCTAGCAGGCAGGACAACAGCCATAATAGATTAACTAGAAGAAATGCATTCATCTATGTTCTTTAAAAGAATACTAACGGGATCATGTAAAACTACTGCAGCCATCTCCCGGAGTAACATACAATGCCCTGACAGTACTTTTGCATTTAAAACTATATAGGCATTACCCCGTGGGACTTGCATAAATGTCATAGAGAAAATTCCTTCAATGAATCTGTCAGCAAACAGGCATATAGACAATCTAGAAACTTAACAAAGAAAAAAGTTATTGGAACTAGTTTTCCCTAGAAGGCCATACAACATCAGTAAAATACAAATCTAAATCCATGATGTAATAAGCCAATAGTATTATGAATGCAATACTGTATCTCAAATCAAGAAATGGCATTCAAGATTGGCAAAGATCCAACCTACATGTCCCTGATTAACGTCTGTTGAAAGAGTGCAAATAGTACAAACCTATCAAGGAAACTCTATCAGCTAGGAATGGTGGCTCAACAAAAGCTGTATATATCTGCTGCTTTTTCTGAAAAACAAGTATCTTACAGGCCTAAATACTGTACGCAAGTCAGTAACAAGTTGAGGATCACAATGTTACATTGGCTGGGCATAAGTTACCACTCGTGCCATGGAACTGCTATGTTTTACCTTTGAATATTATAGCACTGTAAGTTATATCAAAGCAAGAACTATGCCTATCTGTGAACTTTGCCAAAGGTCCTGCCAGCCTTTCTAATAAATTGAGCACAATAAATCTAGTTTTCAGAGAGGCACATCTATCCTACACAAACATCTATGTGGGCAGCACAAAAATCAAGTTTGGTAAGAGGCTAATTATTGCCTGGCCACCTCACTCCACCTTTCTCCAAGAGTGCTCAGCAAATTTCTTCATGTATATGCATCCAATACTATTTTGCATGGAACTAGCCCACCTGATACCCAAATGGCAATCTTGCTTGGGAGCCTGACAGATTACATCTCACACCACCACATCACAACCCTTTTGTAAAGTCATGCATTTGCAAAATGCTACCTTACTATATCTGAAACACAGTGTTTTCCATTTCTTGCCCTGCTTGCAAGAAAATGCAAAGAGATTCAGAATTTTTTTAAATACCATGACCAACAACTCTGAAGAGAAGCCAACATTTATGGTAGAGCAGCCATTTGCATGCAAAAGCATTGGGTTCAATTCCTAGCAACTCCAGGTACGGGCAGAAAAGACTACTGTCTAAAAACTGAACCACTATAATTCAACACAGACAATACTGTCCTAGCTTGGTTTAAGAGAACATCTTCTTTTATACAGATTCCTGTCAGGCAACCCACAGTTCACAAATTATCACTTCCAGAAAGACTTGTGTCATAATATCTAAATTACTCCTCAAGCTTCTGCCAAAGCAGCAACAGAAACATAAAAACTAACTTCCAGAAAAAGACATATGAAATTATCTACACTGAAAAAGAGACAGAACAGACAACTGTGGTTAATTTTTAAAAATCACAATTCAACCTCACTCCAGATGACCAGACCATAATTGTCATGGTCGTGTAGAACAGGGAATGTTGAGAGGTTGTTGCTGTTGCTTTTACCATGCACCTATATGAATTCCATTTATATACAATTAAAGAAAGATTCCTTTACCGCCCCCTAATTCCAGATTTATGGAAGAAAAGGTGTGGATAATTCAGCAAGTGTTCAGAGATACTTTTCAAAACCATAATTACTCTAAAAACGAGTGTTGGGAATTCAACAGTTACCATTAAGGCCCATCAGGATGTCTCAAGAGGAGGAAAACTGCACCCCTTATATAAAACCCTTAACAAAATCTGAGGCACTCCTGCTTATTGTCTCATTTCGAATTTACAACTGTATCCCGCCTGCCCTCCAATCAGCTTAGGGTGCAAACATGGCTGTCCTTTGGGCTTTGTTGGCAGAACAGCCACAACCCTGTGGGGGGTAGGTCAGGTCGAGAGGGAGGAACTGGCCCAAGGTCACGCGGGGAGCTTGAGGGTTCCTGAGGAGGTTCGCGTGTTCCCTCCCAAGCCCCAGTCTCGACACCCGCCTCGACAGACCAGGCTCTTCAATCGCCTCAGCCTTGTGCTTCGCGGGGATCCTCCGCGCGGTGCGGGCAGACCCTCAAGGGAACGGTCGAACCCCCACAGACGGTGGTCGCTGCCGCGGCACGCCAGCCACCCACCCACCCTTGAGGCTCGCCGGTCGGCCCGCGAGTTCCCTCTCAGGCCTCCCACCGGCTGCTCTCTCGCTCACCACGGCTCCTCCGCCCGCGCCTCCCTGCATGGGCCCATTCTGCGCCGTGTCCGCCATGGCTGCGCTGCCTGCCTGCCTCCCAGCCGGCTTGGGTCCCGAAAGGGAGCCTCGGCAACGAGAAGGAGGAGCGGGAGAGGAGAGTAAAGGAGCACGGGGGAGACAAGGCCGCCGCTTCCGCGTGAGAGCTGGCGGGAAGGAAAGGCCGCGCCGGGGGGACGGGAGAGCTGGAGCCCCGGCCAGTGCGCGGAAGATGACAGGATCCGTGGGGAAGCTGCCGGAAAGGAAGCAAGCGAAGGCTCAGGACAGCCCAGGCGCTCCGCGATCCGCCGGGCGCATGCGCCAAACAGGGTCTCTTCCGGGTCATGCCGAGGTCGCCCACGAGCATGCTGGGTAATATAGTTCTTGGGACGACGCAGATCGCGTCGGAGTCGAGGGATGTGCCGCTCTGTGTTGTGCCGGGCTCGGTGTCGGGCTTTTGCTCCGTTTAAGGCTGCTGTTGCTCCCCTTGTCTGAGTCTGATCGGTTTGCGGGGGAGGGGGAGTCGGTTACGGGGCAGACTTCAGTGAGGTTTTTCTAACTGCTCTTCCAGCGGGGTTTTCCCACCAGATCAAACTGAGCGACCTGTTTGGCCAGAGCCTTGGGCTTCTGCCTCCCCCCAGTTCTTTTACCGGCGCTGCTGTTGCGCCAGAGTCGCTGCTTTCCTGCCAGGGGAAGCGCATGAACTCGGAGCGCAACTGGAAAAACCAGACCAGTGTACAGTAGTTTCCACCACCGTGGCGTTGCGGCGCTTGGGGAAGTAGAACATTGTGTCCTTTTTAAGGAGAATGGCGAGATAAAAGTATTTTAAAATAAAGAAACAAACATTTGTCTCTCTCTCTCTCTCTCTCTCTCTCTCTCTCTCTCTCTCTGTGTATATATCTATATTTCTATATATCTCTCTATATATCTATATATATCTATAGATATAGATATACAGTAGATTATAGATATATAGATATAGATAGATAGATATAGAAGAAATAGATATATAGATATAGATACACACACACACATACAGTATATGTTATCATAGAAATAATCATCTTAGCACTTTGGATTCACTATATGAAACAGATTAATTTATTCCATTCAGTTCCAGCTTGAACTTGAGAAAAACCACACCCATTAAAAAGGAGAGGAGTAGCCATTGAATTCAACCTTTTCAAGGGACATTTCCCTTATACTACAATAAACCCATATACTGTATTCCTAAATCTGCTTGTCCCACCTCCAGTGTGATGCTCAAGATTTTCACCCAGCAAGCACATATGAAGAACATATGTATATTACGAAAACTAACTTTATCCAAAGGAGGGTAGAAAAATAACAATTTTTACCCCATATTTTTCACTTTTTCTGCTTGGGTAAACAAGACAAGAAGATATTTCAAGCTTTCAGAATGCAGAAGAAGTGAGAGGGAGAACTACAGCATCAGTAAACAACAGCTGTATTAAAAGTTTCCAAAATGGATGTGTGGAGTTACGAGTTTCCAGTGTTTATTTCCATGAAGTGTTCAATTCCAGTTTTAGTTCTAAATAATAGCTATCAGATGTTGAAAACTTCCAATGTCCGTTAGAAAAAAGTTTTGCCTTCTAGCAGGAACTTCTGTCATCTGGCCATAGTGGATCTATAGGTAAGACACAGCTTGGTGGGAAAATAATGGGGTTAGGAGTGAGGGTGATTAGTTCAACATTATTGTTAGCTAAGTGTGGCCATGGGACTTCCCAGCACAGCAAGGTGCTCCTTTGAGAAACAACTTTTTCTAAAATCTCCAGAATCTGGGATTTTAGCCAAAAATGTTATAGTAAGGAGAAAAAAAACATGCTTGATCCTTCCTCTGCTTCTGTTTTTTCCTTGTAACCCCTACTCTTAACTCTATCATTTTCCACCAACTTGTATTCAAACTCAGACATACTAAGTCAAGATTGTGTCCCAGAGGGGAAAATTCCCTCTTGAATGACTTCTGTGTAAATATGAATTACTCAAACCAAACTGTGATGCTTTATTGCCATGGTTCAACAATCTCTTACAGGTGCATTCACACAAGTATATACATATACACAAAACATGTACAAGTCTAAACGTGTGTCTTAAGAGCACACCTGGTAACAAAGTCCCATTTGTTGTCACAGTTGTAGTGCACTCCTATACATGCTAAGTTGAACAGGACTTAACCCCAGGGAAGCCATCATAGAACTGTGGGCTGTTCAGGGTTATAACACTGGTAAGTATATGGTTGCCACAAGATCACAACAATTAAATGCATCAGGATAAACCATTTGCTGAACTGTTGTGATGAACTCCCTGATGGTCCAAGAGCAGCCACTGCAAGAAAGAATACAGAAAGACCAAAAGGCAGTGCAGTGATTCTTTATTCCTTACGGCTGAAAAGGGGGTGAGGCCAAGCTTGAGTTCTGCCTGGGAGAAAGGATACATGAAAGTGCAATAAACAGAGAAAGTTGTTGTAAGGGACATGTGCTGTAATTGCAGCATTCTCGTTGCCAGAAGAAGAGTCTGGACAATTCCCAGGAGCCTCCAATTACTGGCCATGCTGGCTGGAATATGCTAGGAACTGTAGTCCAGATCAGGAAATTTTTTCAATTTCTGAAAAAGTACATGATAGAAGAGCCTGAAAGCTTATAAGATCTCTAGGTAAGCTCCCGCTGGAGACAGATGTTTTTGGTATTTAAAATTATAGATGAAGAGGGTAATTTATGAACCAGCTCTTAATATCAGTTAACTCAGTTAGACTCAAATGGTAACACTGCACATTGAAGGGTGTCATTGTATGTTAGACAGCTACTAAATATATTTATTTTAGCTACCATATCTTTGAAAAGCAGCTTTGGGAGGAGGCAATTTGTAGTGGATAAAGAGGTGAAACGAAACATGTTCTTGATCTTGGTTCTTTTTCTGCCTTTTTCTTGCCAGCTCCATTCCCAACCCCATTGCTTTCCCACTAGCTGGTGTTTGGACTCGAATGTCCTTCAGAAGCAGACTTTTGGAACCTCAGCTAGGGGAAAGCAGCTGGAAAGGGAAATGGCAGGAAAAAAGTTTGAGGATGGATTAAGCACTCTCCAATAATCTAGTATTGTTATTGGTACAAACTATAGATACCACATGGCCTACAGCTGTGCCCTCCTTGTTAAGACCACCGGCTACTCCTTCTACTAATAATGCATCTAATTATCTGTCTGTTTGCCTCTGTATCTAACCAACTACAGACGAATCCCCTTACTGTTGATTCAGTAGCCACTTAACATGTTTGACCAGATTATGTCCCAGTGATTGCAACAGAACTTTTGCACACTTGACGTCCTCTGGATTGCACCTGCTACCTTCAAAGGGACTGATTTGCTTGTGGGCAGATATATGGGCTTGATAAGGCTGGTAGTCAGACAAGCTGGACATTTCCATAAATCCAGTGGTTTAGGGATCAGGTTGCTTCTCTCGAAAAGCAAAACTATGAGTCACAGCCTCTGGCCCATGCAGCAGGAAATGATTGTCCCACAATCTGAAGACCAATATACTGTATCACGTTGCTATTGCACTACTTCTTTCATCCATAAAAGAGCAGGATGAGGAAGATGGAAAGAACAAGTAACTTGGATTATATTCACAAGACAACCACATACAACAGAAAATCTGATTTTTCTGTCATTACCTGGACTTCTTTTACCACCGTTCTGGTTTGTAATGGTGGGATTGTTATACTCAATTATACCATCTGTTTGGATTACTATAATAAATGATAGAATGTGTTTTATAGGATAAGAAAAACTATACTGTATCTGCTGAATTTCCATCTGCCCTGTTGTAAAAGTTACAGGATTATAAGTCCCCTTAGCATCTGGTTACCCTATTCATTCCCCTTGTTTCACTGTGTAGGGTCAGGAACTCCATTTATGAGTTGCCTGCCTTCTCTGCAAATATCCTGATGTAACTATTTGAGGTGAGGGGCAGTGGTGGGGGAGGTGAGACAAAAGGGACAGGAAATAACCCTAAGAAAATGTTCAGATGTTAGTGTCAACCCCATGGGAAAAGCCAAAAAGATGTGGAAGAAAAGTTTGAATAAAAGAACAAAGCTGCCTGTCAATTAGACTAGGTGAAGCTGAAGCTAATGGATCCTCTGCCAGAAGAGATGAAACATGGAAAGAAAAGAGCTGGGAATACAAACACAAAGGGAGGGACATTAATTGTGCAGCTAAAGCCTTGGGGGCACATGCCCTCCCTCAAATGCAAACAGAGGCCTGCACAAAAGATGGCCATTGCTATCCAGAAGAAGACTGCCTGGCACTTCCCTTATGAAAGGTATGAATTTGGTATGTCAGATCTCTGTATCCCATGTGCACTGGTAGCCTGGCTATCCTTGGAGGTCCCGTTTTTACCTGTGGGCTCGATGGGAAAGACCCTGCCAGAACTTTGATTGCAAACTGTGATTGTTGGAAGCGGCATAGTGGATGAGTCTTTGGTCTTCGGGTGTATTTGAAAGTGACCTGAACGTTGCTTTATCACCTCCAACTGTCAAACATCCCAGCACACTTGCATTTCTGTCCAAAGGTGGCCAAATTCCAGCTCCTTGCCATATCGCATGATTTGGTTTGGGCAGGTTTACTCTGAAAAGCCAGCAATAAAAACTGAAGCAAGTAAAATGCTTGCTTAAAAACAGAATTGCTGCCAGTAATTACTGAATATTGTGGTGGAAGGAGGAGTCTTTTTTCATCTTGTGTGCCATTTAAATCCTCCTTTCAATACTCGAGAAAGTATCAAAAACCACACTAGATATAACCTGTCATATACGTATGTGTGGACACTCATAACAGAATTGCTGCCAGTAATTACTGAATAAAAAAATTGCGGTGGAAGGAGGAGTCTTTTTTCACCTTGCGTGCTATTTAAAACCTGCTTTCAATACTCGAGAAAGTATCAAAAATTGCACTAGATGTAACCGATCATATACGTATGTGTGGACACACACCAGACCCTTTATGATTCTCTTGTTGCTAGCAGCTGATTTCAGGAACATTTGGCACACACAAATATGGCTAGCAGACTGCATTAAGCTTTACAGGTCACAAACTATATCATATTTTACAGAAAGAGTGGGTTATTTTGAATGTTCACTTCAGCTTTTTTTATGGCCAGTACTGAGCAGAACACTCATCCTGTAAAGCTGCACTCTAGGTAGTGAAAATGCCACATTTCCCTATTAGTTCAGAAAGGATGCAATTCTGTAGTAACAATAGTGGATGGAGCACTAATAATTTGCAAGTAGCATGACAATGTGTGAAGTATAGTGGATGGAGCACTAATAATTTGCAAGCAGCATGACAATATG